CTTCTTAATATTTAATCATCTTATTTTTTTACTTAATTTTGTGTTTAAAAGTCTCTATGTTGTTATATAATTTATTATTTTCATCTTATTCAATTATAATATTGAATAATCCTATATGTTTCTAACAATTTGCTCTTGACTCAAAAGATATTTCATTCTATACATGTCTTGTCTAGAATATTTTTTATAATTCATTGCTCTTGTTTTCAAATTTCTTAAGTGTAAATTACATTTGAATATGTTAATATTATTATTTGAATATATCAATAATTTTACTATCTATTGTTTAAAGAATAGATATTGTATTAGTAGAGAAAAAGTGATAAGTGATGTTTGGATTTTTGATACCATTCAAACTATAAATTGTATAATAATCAAGAAAAAAGAATATATTTTTAATTTTAGCTTTTATTGTTGCAATGGAAGTATTTAAGCCATTCAATGAATAACGATAAAGTTATCAAAACTTTATTAATGCAACAATAATAGGATCCAAGTTGCTTGACATTCATTTTTTAAAAAGTACATGAATTTTAGGCCCTACCAATAATAAAGAGTTGAAGCTTCTTAATAAGTTAATTATTTACTAAAAATTTAATGAAAATATTTTTCTTAATTTTTTTTTGTATCTTTAAAAGGCTACTTGACTATTGCACCATTTGGTAACATGTTGTAGAATAGGCTAAATCCATCCATATTGAAAATATTTTCATGATTATATTGCACAATAAAGTATTTTAACTTAATGAATTGTAATTGCAATTGCTATAATATCCACTGTTTTGATCTCTTCATGCAAGAAAAAGTAAAAAAAAATATTTTGCTCCTTAAAATAAGTCATTCAATTTTTAAAAAACTTTTTACAACTATCAAAATTAGTATTTATTACATCTATGGTTGTGCCCTTCTTCTTTTGACCCATCATTTTAGATGTATGTTTTATTGAAGAACCAAACTATATTATATTCTCTATCTTAGTTTTAAAACTTTCATTAAGTTTATAATCTTCTTGGTTATGACAAAAGTAATGAGAGGGCAAAAAGATAATAACAATTTGGAGAAAAGAAAATAATATAAAATTATAAAATTAAATTATTTTACAAAGTGTAAATTATAGAACATTGCCTAATTATTAAAAATTCCATTTGTAGAGACTATTAATATATATATATATATATATATATATATATATTTGAAACTACTTTTATAAAATTTATTAATAGTTTATTAATTTGAATATAGTTTTATATATTAGATTAAATACATAGTATTATTAGTATCATTTAAAAATATATATTTATTAAAATATTAGTATAAATATTGTTTATAAATATAAAAAATTAACATCGATAATATGAAATTATAAATATTTAATATATATATATATATATATATATATATATATATATATTATAACATTTAAATTGTTAAGTACTTTATTATATAAGATCCATTATGGACTTAAAAAAGTAGTAGCTCAAAGTTGTATAATATAGAAATTAATGTTCTATAGTTATAGCATTGAATTAGAAGAAATTGAAGGTGATTATACTATGGCCACGTTTATGTAAAATGATCATGCATAACTAGTATATATGCATAATAAATGTATCAGATAATAATTACATTAAGTTTAATACTTATTGTTTTGTTAATATATATGTAGAAATAAAAAAAGATTATTATCAAGAAAAAATATGAAAGTAAAGATTGTATTTTAATCTTAATTTAGTCATATTCTTTACTCCAATCATGTATTAGAAATTGATAGAAGGTTTATGATTTTTTTGTGCAAAATTGTAATATATATATATATATATATATATATATATATATATATATATATATATACACGTGTATGTGTATATATGTATATTGTTATTCATATAGTTCTTTAACATCAATAGAATTCTTTAATATTTGTCTTCTATATAAATAATATATTTAATTAAATTTATAATAACATAATTATTAGATTATCTTTAATATGTGTAGTATTTTTATTAAATTATTGATTTTAGATATTAAACTTGATATTCAATAGATAGAAGAAATATTTTGGTCAAGGATGATTACTTGTTATACTCAGAAAACCAAATTAAACTTAAGATCTTATCAAGCAATTGTAGTATCATTTCTAATTTTTTGTTTAAAAAAATTTAAAATATTTTTTATTTTAATAATTATTTTTGGAATATTAATAAAAAAATAAGAATAATTTATCTATTTATCCGTATACTATTATGTATATGTTGTATTATATATTAGTAGTAATTAAATTTTTATAATTATTATATATTTTTGATTTTATGTGTGGTAAGAAATATTTCTATGTACATTTTTAATTACTTGATGTACTAATAATTAAATTTTAATTTTCTATAAACTAAAAATTATATATTCATTTTTATTAACATAAACATTCTTTTTTATTTTACTTATACAAAATAAATATTGTAAAAATATTTTTATTTTTATCACTTTTTATTATATCAATTTGATTATTTTTTTATTTATTTTAAGACATAATTTATTTTAATTGGCTTTAAATAAGAAATTTTGAAATTTGCACCAACAATTTAGAATCTTATTCCTTAACAAAAAATTGACACTACATGATGAAATTTCTTGTCTAAATAATATATTGGTATCTAAATAAAATTTCTAAAAAATAATTTAATAATATTAATTATATCTTATAATAATCTATTAAAAACTTTAAAAACAAATCTTATAAGTTTTTATAAATTTTATATGTTATAAGTGAAGATCTTCACTTATAACTTTATCTCTACTTTGTTTTTCTTTGCACTAAAATTTCTTCTTCTAATTGATCTGCTTTATGAATTCACTATATAAAATAATTTTGGTTGTCTTATTATTAGCACTTATTTTATAGAATTGAGTAGTTTTTTTGGAATTTATGTTGCTCTAACTTCTTTTGGATTTCTATTAGGATGATAATAGATCATGTATTAATTTAGAATGTGATATTTTAATTGTTAAAATTTTATAGCCTCTAACATAATAAGTTAAATAAAAAAATTCTCTAACATGCTAGTGATGATGAAACAACATAGATATCTTAAAATTAGTGAATTTTTGAAGAAGCTTCTAAATTATCTTTCTTTTGTACAAAATTTAATAGACAATTAATTGTAAAATTACACCTCTTGTAGACACATTTGTAATGATATTTTATATAACTCATTATATAGCACACATTGTAATATTGATATAATACTCTAACATTTAACAAATTAGAAGATTATTTAGCACTAAATATTGGCTTTTTAGAATTTTTCTTCCATATGAAATTATTATTATATTATTTTTTATTCAATAATATAGAAAAACTTACCATCTTCTCAAGTTTTTTTCTTAAAAAAAATTTGGACATTTTTTTTTGTATATTCTATTTCTATGTCTAGAGGAGTTTACTAGAGATGTTTGCAAGTTTGATAAACCATGCACTTTTTAATCATATCATGAAAATTTAGATGAAATTTTTAAGTTATGATTTTGTGCTTAAACAACAATGTTGTTAAAAGATAGATAGACATCTTAGTGTGTTATCTTAATGTAGAACAACTGAAAGGTAGTAGATAGCTCATTGCATACAAAAGTATATATGCCATCCTATATACATGTATAACTTCATCTTATTTTTCTATCAAAGATGACAAAGGGAAAATTGAACAATTGAATGAACATGGCCAAACATGTTGTTTTTGTTTTTGTTTTGTTTTGTTTTCCTATCTGCCTTTTGGTGAAAACAGAAGGTTGTATTTGGTAGCTTTTTAGTTACCAAATACAACATTCTGTTCGCATCAAGAACATTTATAATATGTGCTGCATGCAAGTTGTACATAGGAAATTAAATACATACGTGGCCAGATTCAAACCTCCACCAAAATATCCATAAAACACCTTCTTTTGGTTCTAATCTATGCAATTCATCTACAAACCTTTTTTTATTCTTTCATATTAATTATTATGATCATTTTTGATGTTGTTTTGTTTAAATTTAATATTTAATGTTATTTAATTTAGACATTTTACTTAAATACCATTGTGGATTTTTTAAGATTTGTTTTATTTTATAAAAGTTGTAACTTCTATTATATATATATATATATATTCTTCTTTTCAACTCCTCTTCTGAATACAAAGTAGATATAATAATAAATAAATAAAATAGAATTTTAAGTTGAAATAATATTGAAAATGCTTGCTCCAGGATGGAGAAAAAAAATCTCTTTTTGTTTTCAGTATAAAACCCATTTGTTATTTGAAAAATTAAATAAATCAAACGACCAACTGTAGTTGCAATGGAACCTTCTTCTAGGAAGCATGGTAATGCTAAATTTTGTGATGGTACAACATGTGTTCCAACGGACCCCTTTCTTCTATGAACATTGCTTAATACTGTCTGTTTTGTTTTTCTTCGTTCTATTTGGTTTGGGTTTGATTCCTTTTTCATGACTACTCAAGATTCACTACTGTGTTTGTATGCAATACTACGATAGAATTATTACAGAGTGAAATAAATCTCAAACCAAGATGGGTGTCAAAAGTTCAACATTGGATGCAAGTGGAAAACATCACTTCCTACCTCTTGCCTCCAACAAAATCCTCTAAGGAAAATAAAAAAATAAAAACAACTTAAGCAACTTTAATCACTCCCCCGCCCCCAAATGTTATTTGTTCACCCATCCGTTCATCCATCCATCCGCGGTCATGGGAGGCAAAACCGAGGAGGAGGAGCGGGAGTAGGTGCGTGATCCAGGGGTCCGAAGCCAAGTGGAAGGGCCACGGGGCCCGATGAGAGAGAGCAGAGGTTTTGAATGAGTCGGGGGGTGGGCGGGGGAGGAGCAAAAACATTTCGAGCGGGCAAATTCGACGAAGCAGCACCATCATCATCATCGGAGGCGACGGCGGGCTCCGGATCACGATGCCCTCGAAGATTCCATTCCTTTCATATTCGCTGCCTCGCTCACTCACTCTGCATTTCTCCGCGTAGTTAGTTGTTTAAGAATGTCTTAGTTGGATACTATATGATTGTGGTGTCGTAGGCGTCGTCGTCGATGCCGTGATGCGTCGCAGTCCTGATTGACGGCAACAGGGTCAGTTGTAGCTTTAGCGTCGAAGCCGCTGTGTGTCATGATGCCGCTGCTTATGTGACGAGGCCCGCGGGGGTTGCCGTTGGTGCTTGGGTTCCTTCGTTCCCTTTGTGGCGAGCGCTACTCCATTAACTTGACGCCTGGTTACTTGATGAGTCGTGGTTTTTTATTCTCGGGACCGACGGGTGTGATGCGGCATGGTTTTGGCTGTAGCGAGGATGTTGAGATGGTCGTCGGGTGTGCCGCGCTTGTTTGTCGGTGTGGAACAGGGTGGGGCGGCGGTGATGCTCGCTTGCTTGGGTTGTCAGGTGGTCGGTGGCATTGATTAGCATTCGAAATTTGCTCTCGAGATGTCTGGGTGTTGAGGAATTTGGTGATAACCGCGAATTGTTTTGTAGAAGAATCGCCGTTCATTCTATGGACGAGTTTTAGCGTCCGCCAGTTTTCTGTGTACGGAAGGGTTGCGGGGTCGGGAGCTTTCGGGCTCGGTGATTTTGAGTAATCTGGTACTGTGATTAGTAGGGGATTTCTAGATTCGAGTGTGTCGAGCTTACATTGCCCTACCTTCCTGCGTAGATGTATTCATTGTGACAAAGCTCATGAAGTTAAGTTGGAGTTTTACAGAAACTTCTTCGTGTTAGTGTATTATTATTATTATTATCATTGTTATTCTTAGGCGATGGACGAGTCTTTGGAGAATGCTGGAAATCCGTCTGTGTGGGATCGTGGACGGATGGTTGCACAGTATTTGTTGGGGTGGCCATTTATGTGCCATGCAGGATCGGTGCTTCTGGTTGCTTGGATAGCCTCCTACCTGCACCTTAGCGTTGGTCTTGTTTGCATTCTAGGCTTCCTTTATCTCTTTCAGGTTATCCTTCTGCTTCCTTTGCACTTCTGGTTGTAGAGAGTTATTTTAAAAGTAGAGATTGAGCGTTAACCAACTGTGAATATCCTTGGATTTTTCTGAGGAGAGGTGTCTTGTATGTTAGAAGTTGACCATCTAATTTTACCAATTCACCTAGCTGCACATATGTGGCAAATCTAGAGCGTCTGTCAAGGTCATTACTAAAGTCATTGCTAGATTTTCTTCTAAGTAAACTTATCATCTCTCTTTTTTTTGAGGGGGGGGGGGTGTGTGAAGTTCTATTATGATAATCGTTGTCGTAGTTAACATCTCTCTGGGTTCTGACGCCCATTTACGTTGGCAGTGACTGATGAACGTTGAAATGTTTAGCTGCGAAGGCATTTGAACTTCTGCCGTGTGCTCCACAATGTAGTTTTATTCTAGTGATTCGTGTCTTTCATGGTCTCATATTTGGTTAATTGCTCTAAGGTGTCAGTCACGTTTGCAGATTGAGAGCCGACAGCGGGCGAAATTATTATGGAAGGTACATCACGAAGAGGAAAATAAAGCAAGAAAAATGAGGGTATCTCCTGAACTTACGATTCCCCCACCCCTTTTCTTCATGCATACCACTGCACATTACGTATTGCGACGGCTTTGCATACCATTCTTGCGTACTGATACTTGCCCACATACTTTACTATGTCTGCTTGGCCTCCTGCATGGTAGTATCCAAAACCTTAATTTTGTTGCCTGTACATAGCTTGTAGAGAATTTTTATTTATTTATTTATTTTCGTTTCCAAATCCATATTTTTGATTTTGCTTGAAAGAATTATTTTTAGGTGGATAGCAGAAGTATAATCATTGTTACAAGTTGCTCTGTATCTTGGGACTGGGCTGAGCTCATGTCTTAAATGATAATTACTTGTTGTGAGTTCGTTTTGTTTTCAAAACAGCATAGAGGTCGTTGGTGGTTTAGCATACTTATCACTTCAGTTATCAAAGTATTTCATGTGCTCTTGCTTTACTTCTTGACGAACTGATTATATGCTACTCTGCAGATTTCTGAAGGAGAAACTGTGCGATGGATGAATAAAGCTTTAGAAACCATTTGGCCCATGTTCTTGGGAGAGTTCTCTTCTAAACACCTTAAGATTCCTCTCTCCTCGTTCCTGGACCGGTTCAAGCCCTGGAGTATGGTATTGTTACCTCTCACATTAATCCACTTAACCCATAATTAATTTCTGCTTTTACCTAGCTGTGGACCTTACCACTCAGTAGGTAATCGGGCAACTTATGTGCAGGGATGTTTCTGTGTGCTTGCGGATGCAGAAAAAAATATCTGTTTCAGACATCTTTCTTGGGAAGAGTCCGCCGATTGTAACAATGATCCGCATGTTGGACGATCCTGTGGATGGTGATCACTTGGTATGTCTTTCTTTGTCACTCGTATACTTCAATCTCCCCCTGTTGAGATTGCTATTTAAGGTACAACAAGTCCTGAAATAGCTGAACCTAATAAACGTGGATTGGGGCTTTCGACATTTATTTGCGAAAAAACTTTCGAAAATTGTCAAATATTGATTTGCATGGTAGTGACGTTTGTTAACTGTAACTTTGTTTTCTAACAACCCACTGCAACTTGAAGTCATTGGGGATCCTCTCTTTGGCAATGCAGTGCTAAGGACTGCAAGCAGGGATCATATGCGTGCTGTATTATTAAGTTTTGTTGAGAATGTTATTCGGTCTCTAGATAGTCGTTGCTGAATTAAAAGGTTTTCAGGCAGTGGAAGCGTCTATCGAGTGGATGGCAGCCAAAGACATGGCTGCTGTCGTGGATGTGCAATTTCTACGTCGCATTAGCTTCGGAATTCGAACTACTGTGCACATCTGCAATCTATGTCTTAAGGGCAAGGTAATGACTCTAACTTTTAGCCCAGCTTTGGATAATAAGCAGCCTGAATTGTGGACTTCTGAGTTTCGGTAGCACATTTTTTTCGTCACAAATGTCATGCTACAATTTCCTTTGAACTGGATTATTTCATGAACTTTTTATGCTATTTCCCATTCCTTGAACATTATAGAAGAGTTGAGGCTTCACACAACGTTCATTCTTAGGCTCTGAACCACTTGATATGTTCTTGGACGGATTGCTTGGTGTTCGGTTAGTCTTTTGTGTGACCATGATAGCATATCGTTGAATTGATGTCTTCTGCTCTCAAAGACGATTGTGTTGGGGAGGGTCTTAGTAGATTTGATTTTGCTAGTTACAATGTCCTGGAAATATTACGAGATTTACGCTCTCGTCGTATTTGCTGGTGTTGCTTAGGTGAAAGCAGGGATTAAGTTCAAAAATGGATGGCCAGTGATTGAACGACTACGAGTTTGTTTTGCGACGGCACCTCATGTACAGATGACCATCCATCCTCTGTATAATAATGGGGTTGATGTATCTGAGCTTCCGGGAATTGCACAATGGATGGTGCGTTGACTGCATCTTTGCATTTTCTAACTTACTCAATTGTTTAATGTGCTCACGGTGATGGTAGTCGCTTTATTAGCTGAAGTTGTGGTCAAGTATTTAGCGTACTTGCAAGTGGAATTGTGTCCTTAGCCCCTGTAATTCGTTTTGCAGCAAGAATTTCTATGTGGCTCAAATGCAATGCGGCTCTGAAATAAATTAGTGGTGATGTTTTTGCGAGCGCGGTTTTTCAGGATCGTCTAATGGCAGATATTTTCGCCCGGTCTTTGGTAGAGGTACGTATGCATCATACCTCGAAATTGTGGTTTAGGTCGGGTGGACATTCGTTTCTTTTACAGATCTACTTCTTTGTTTATTGAAGTTCAGAATAAAAGATATATAACTGTGAATGTAATACTGAAATTTCATCTCCAAGGAAAGAATGCAGAGACAAAAATTTCGTGGAATTTGTTTCAACAGGTGGGGTGGGTTTTCTTCTAAATTAATATTTGACACGAGTTAACTTTATGCTTTAGAACGTATCTGTTGGAATACATTTGGGGCAATGCCTTTATTCACCTGGAGAGCCTTAGCTCATGTTGAAAGTGTTAAGTACATGTACTGTTTTGGCATGGTTGCAGCCGAACATGATAGAAATTGACGTGGAAAAGCTCATGAAAGATGTAATGATACCCCTAGATCCCATTCCAGTGCCAAGAGGTAATACTAGATCACGTTTGAGCTCGAGAAACTCTTAAGAATTCACCTATACCACCTATTTGAAATGATATGTAGTATGTTGGATGTTATTTTTGTGAATGATTAACGACGAAAGTCTTTCTAGGATGATCTATTCTTTTCAGAATCATCATATTCTTCACTTCTCCCTTTTCAGCCTTCAGTTGCGAAGCTTGACTTGCTTGTCGTGTTGAACCCTATTTTCTTGCTCTGATGGCCATTTTCTCGTGTGTTTTGCAGGTGCCTTTTGGACCATGCATGTGGGTGCGCCAGTGGCGGATGTCATTGTGGAAGTTCTTGAAGCTACTGATCTACGAATAGGGTATGTTAATGGTAAGAATTTTCTTTCTTTTCCTTTCTGAGGGATATGGCTGTCATGCGGTGATTGTGTCTGCATCCTACTCAAGTATGTTGTTGTACCTCTCGAGATTGTGAACATTATTCTCTAAATAATTTGCCATTATGTTGTCGATAAGTATGATAAATCTAGAAGTCATTTGATTTTAATAAATCAATCAGTTCATGCTGCATTCTATGGAGAATCTCACTTGATCGTTCCTTTGATAGATCCTTAAACGTCTTATCCTTGCAACTTTCAATGTGCATTCTCTCAGTTTTATGCGCATTAATTCACTCCTCGCAGATCATATTTTAAGATTGCGATTTACAGCCATTATTAAGTTCGGGCTTCTTTATTTCATGAACGAATTTTGTCAGTGTACTGAGGTTTTTGAATCTATCTGTAGGGTACCCCGATCCTTATGTAAAAGTTACAGTCGGACATCAGACGAAAACAACCAAGGTGCAACCCAAAACATTGCATCCAAAATGGAACGAAACCCTCAAGTTTTCTATTGCAACCTTGGAACAACTCGACAAAATACTTATCAATGTGCGTGATAAAGATCATTTTTATGATGAACGGCTTGGGTATGACGTCACTCTTACTGTGAAGACTGTTGATTGTGATTAGAGATTTTGAACTTGTCATTAGCGGGTGCACAGTTTGCAAATAATCATTTGGAATCAGTTTGAATAGTTGTACGAGTGTAGGCCTGAGGGGATGTTGCCCCATTGGACTTCATATTCGGCAGAAGGTCTTTCTTACTTCTCTACGCCCAGCATGTGAGGGCTTGTACAGTAATCACCCATAGAAATTCTAGATTTTGTATCGCATTAAAATAGAAGCCATTGTGTATGTGAGTGAAACCATTCATTTTTTTTGTTCATTTGTGATAGTGCGTCTGCTTTGCACCGTAGCAAAATGCATGAATTCCTTGAACACGGATTTTGTGTTCCATTTTGGGCGAATAATTTGATCTGAGAAGTTCAGAGACTTAATCTTTATCTCCTGTCACGGACTGTCTTGCAGTTCCTGTACAGTGAATTTAAATAGTTACCGAGATGGAATCCGACGTGATATTTGGTGCGAACTTGAAGACATAAAAACTGGTAAAATTCACCTAGCCATTACGGTTGTCGCCAAGCAGGCTTCCTCTCTCAGTTCTGAGGATACCTCGAGCTACAACTCTACAACTTTTGAGGTACTTACAGCATTTGTATCTTATGCTTGTGTTTCATGACAATTTTCGAGGGTTTTTATTGAGAGTGCTTCTGATGAGCTTCAATACCCAACTTCTTTGGATATCTCTTAATCTTTCATCGCATCGTGTCAACTTCTAATGTTTGTTTTGTTTGAGTCTGAGGCTTATTTTGGGAATCATTTACACAGCACTGTAACATGTAGAAACTGAGTATTGCAATATCTGAGTCGGTAACCATATTGACTTTCTAAATTTTGCGTATTGCAGACGATTGATCAAACAATCAGCCGAGAATTTGATCCATCTCTTTCTGAAGGTTTGCCATTATCTGCAGCACCATCCCCTAAGACTCATGTCTCAACACGTCAGAAGTTGAAGGCCTTAAGATTAAGAGAACCTTTCTTAAGCAAAACTTCACCAACTTCACCAGTGAAGGATCCCAACTTAAATAGTGGACGTCAGAGATCTGTAATTATCGATAGTCCCGAGTCCAGGAGGAGGCTTGAGTCGCCTCGGATTGCATCTGGCAGAGAAATCTTTTTTATTCCTGGTGATGATTCATCAGATCTGTTTACTTCTGATGATGTTTCCAGATTTGCATCAGTACATTCTACAACGAAAATAGAAGCAGAAGCCATAAACCAATCTAGTGATGAACCAATGGCAATTGAGCTACATGTAGGCGTTGGGGAATCTGGCGCTGTAAAAATCCGCAGGTTTGGGGATGCAAATCCCCCAACTAGCCCCGAACCGCAGGTTGTCGGGTCAACACGGTCTCAGAGTGTGTCTAAAAGTTTTAACAACATTGAGGAAGAAGGAAGTGCTACCCGGAAGATTCGAAGCGCTGGAATTAAACTGCACAGCAAGTATCACAGGTTTGTGAAACTGATAAAACAATTTCATTAGTTGGTTTATTTTATGGCATGCCATTGCTCCAGCTGAAACTATCTATCAATACGTCTTCCTCCAATCGTTACTTAAAAAGTGCTTGTTTTATCGTTTCCTTAATTTCCAGCGAAAAATATCTTTTGTGTTCAACTTGTTAACATTTTTCTCATATATTCAACTTGCTAATGATGTTTTAAAACGTTGGAGTTTGCAGGGCGAAACAAGGATTTAAAAGGGCTTCAGTACCTTCGCCAGTAAGGGACAGAAGTCAGGAATTGCAAAATCGCAGGGGGTTTAGTAGCAGTAATGGATTGACCGTAGATACATTAGGTGGGCAGGCCGCAAATAATTCTCCTACTAATACACTGTTAGGGCAGAATGACTCAACTAAGACCTCATTGACTCCGGAAGTGTGTGGTGGAGCAATGGATGTTCGTGCTATTGGGGATCTTGAACCAGATAAAGAACACATGCGAAACAGAGCAAAGGGCATACTCAAGGCTGCGGGGCGTTTCGGCAAGAGATTGAATCATCGGAAAACCTCGCTAAGCTCAGATGAGCTTTCTAGTTCTGGTGAACTGACGCCCATAGGAGGCGAAAGGATTGAGGTTTCTCTGTCAGGACCAAGTACTGATCTCCATATGCAACAACAGGTAGCTTCTCCTAGCAACCGATTAGTGTCTTCTCTCCCTGCTTCGATTTCCTCGACGCCACCCCAGAGACCACCTCCAGGACTGCCACAACCCGTCACTCCAAGTTTCGATACAAGTGAGTAGAATTTTTCTTCATTAGCTCTGGAGCCTGCCCCAATTTACGCTACGGATAATCAATAGAGTTTTCCTACAGGAGGACAAAGGTTTTCTATTTTATTTCATTTTTGCCTTGAAGGACTAACAAAGCCTGCCTCTTTGGTGTGAGCGAACTATTTGGTTTCGCATTCTGGAGCTAGCAAAATGTTTAGAACTGAACTCTGTTCCATAGTGACTACCTTACGTAAATTCTAGCTCTGTTTGCAAATCGTTAGTGCAATGCCTATTGTGAAGATTCTATATTCTTTTTCAGAACATTTGTCACTGCACTAACTGAAGTGCTGAAATGATTTTTAATGTAATTTATAGAATTGCAGAAGACTGCCATCTGGATTTAGAGTACGGTAAAATAAATTTGCAGATTGGATTTTGTATGTTTCTAGGTGAAACCATCCATAAGTGAGCCTAGTGAGCTGCAATATTGCTGAACTCCACTATAATGCTACTTGACTGAACAGTTGCTTCTCGGGAGGGTTCCGCGTGGGTGATATTTTCGATGAAATATTAGTTTAGAGAATGTGTGACTTTTATTATTTTTGGACTGGCATGGCTGAGGGCAGTCTTTGTTGTAGGAAATTGAGGCTTGTTGGGGGCTAGGATTTGACATTATCTAACCAGATTTGATGTTTGTGATATTGACAAAACTACTGTTTGGTTAGTGGGTGTTGTAGAGATAAGAAGTGGGCTTAGCACAATCTTGTGCAAGCCAATAAGATCATAGGAGAGCTTAATTTGTATGGATAGTGGGAGCATTGCCCTCTCCAATATTTTAATATAAAAGCTGCTTGATATGATGACCTTGACAAGTATTGGAGTACATATTTGTTTGATACATCTATTGAACTTACACTATATTTGGATGGGTCTCATCCCATTGTTGTCTCATGCCATTGTTGGATCAAGCCTTATTTGGAAACTCATTACTTTTGGTAAAGTTAGTCTCATCGCTTATTAACAATTTTTTCTTTTGTAGTAATATTGGATTAGTTGCAACAACAATAATGTCCATGTTGTTCTTTGGTAGAGAACTTTAAAAAAACCATGAGAATTTGCAAGTATAGGAACTTAGAGTTCATTGGTGAGAATTTTGTTATCATTTTCCTAAGATGATGAATTGTTTTGATGGCTACTAGGAAAATCTTAAGTCAACAAGTTTGGACGTCCCTTCAAAATTTAGAAGGTTTAGAAGAGAGATTAGCATATGAAATTCAGAGTAAGAATCATTATTCTTTATGTCTTCATTTCTTCTTTAAATTGAAAAACTTGTAGTGTAAAGAACAGTAGGAAGCATTATCAATGTAGGCATTCAACTTTATTTTGCAGCATTGAAGCATTTAGAACCTCCACTCTACTAATGGAATTAGAGGTAGTTCACATGCAAATTCAGATGGTCATGATGCCTCAATCATAGAAGATGTTTTGCCTGCAGGTCTCAAAGATTTATCCTTAGTTTTCTATGAGCAGTTGGTGGCAATGTTGCCACAATATGTAGGTGAATTCATACTAGAGAACTATGTATTGAATGTTGTTTGCCATATCATAGAAATAGTCAACAACATGATCCTTACAAGCTCCTTCCATCACCACTTTGTCACCATTGATTACATTGGTTATAGTAACAAATACCAAACTTATTCACAAGTCTCGTACTCATCATGGTATGCTATCTATCCTTTCTCATGAAAATTTTTTCTTCCCTAATAACTATCTTATCTTCATTTAAGATTTCACTATTGTTGCTAATGCATATGATGCCCCAAATTCATACCAAATTTCATAATACTATACCTCCATATTGAGAGATGCTTGGGACCTTATAGGAATCTTGAGTTGATTGCTCTATCCTGCTTACCTAAGCACAAGTTCAATACCTGGACAAGACATTGTTCATCCTAGACAATGAATAAAGTTTGGCATTATCGTATTACATGTGTTCTTGCTTAAAAATGCACTAGATATATAATTATGGAAGATAAGTAGAAATATAAGAACAATCCTACCAAGTCTAATAAAATCTTAAATAACCTTAATTAGACCTTAATAATCTTGATCAAATTTTTGCCAATCCATAATAAATTTAAAAGAAATTATAAAAGAAATACAAAGAAGTCTGAAACTAATCTCAAAGAAAAAGAACAAGAAATCTTTAAAAAATATAAAAATAATTTTAAAAAAATATTATAAATATAAATCTTTAAAGAAATAATAAAAAATTCTAAAGAGATACTAAAAATAGAATTTAAAATATAATCATAATTAAAATCTTAATTGAACCTTAATCAAATCCTATATCAAACCTTAACAAAATTCTAATAAAATCCTAAATCTTAGATAAATCCTAGATAAATTTTAATAAATTTCTAATCAAATTTTAAACCAAATCCCAAGAAAACCTTAATTTTAACCAAATCCTAAGCCCTAACCAAATTATAGGCAAATCCTAAATCAAATACTATAGAAAATTAGAACCTCAATAACTAATAATCAAACTATTGATATTAATTCAAAATTTGTACATTTTATAATATCTTAGTTAGGAAAAAATACAAGAAAGATGAAATCAATTGCACTTACTAATTGTAAGAAATACAAGATAATTTAATTAGGTATTGGGCACCCTCATACTCCAAACTAAATTCTAAACTTTCAGCACCAATACCTCCTACTTAAATCATTGAATTTTTCTCAAATTTCACTTAAATATTGAAAATCGTGTCTAATATCTATACAATTTTTTTCACTTCAATCCAATTGACAAATTGCTGAAGATCTTATAAACACTGACTAACCTTCAAATTCCAATTTCTAAGATCTTAATCAATAAAAACCTTCAAATACTTTGCTCTAACGATTTGATTGACTTCAAAATTTATACACACATTAATAACTAATACACCAACAAACTACCCAAATTTCACTAATATATACATCTCAAAACTCAAGAAACCCCCAATTTTGTAAATATATTTTTAATTCTCCAAACCTAAATCAACCGAGAACATTACTAACTTTGAAAATCCCTCAAAAAGTCAATATTGATTAATTTACATAAAACTAATGGCCAAAAATCTCTTCTTAAGTTTGCTCTCAAATTTTACTCTTCAATCAACCAAAAAATCCTAGATTCACCATAGGTGCATGGTTTTGTGCCTTGGAATCTGATTTTGACCTTATTTGACAACTAGTCCTCTCCCAGTATCAATTCTTGGCTTCTTGAAGTAATTTTTGCTAAAATATACTCTTAATTCTTTTTTACACATGCCTATATTATTTAATTTTCCAATCTACTATTTTTTGCCTTATTTATGGCTCTACAAAGTAAGTAGAAGCCTATTTTGTAAAAAGGCAGCATTAATATTTTTTAATTTTACCATCCTTTTGACTATTATCTATATTTTTAAGATAATTTTCTATAATATTTTAAAATAAGATCTTCTAAAATATAATTTTTTCTTCTCTCTTTCATTCATTAGCTATGTTACATCATGACAGCATGGAATTACTTAAATAATATTAAATATCAATATGACAACAACCTATAGTTAATGTCGAATAATGCCAAATATTATGTATCAAATATTATGTATAATGAGTTGTTCATTGCATCTATTTATACGCAAGTAGCTCAAAGAAATAAAGAAGAAGCTGGAAGCACAATCAACAGACAAGATGCATTTAAACTAGATATCGCATCTCTAAATGGCTTGCATATGAAGATCATTGTTAGACCACTTATTTTCTTATTTGTTAGGTTCTTTTAACTTAATTATATTGCTTCTTTGAAAAAATATATAATTATTAAATCATGGATAGTACTTAAGTAAATTATCAATATTAATTAATCTATAATTATTGATACAATATGCAATGCAACATCGTTTCCTTTTTGCCATCACCGAGCTCTTAAATCTGTGAATTATACCATTCAATATTCAAATCACAATTATCAATAATAGTGTATATCATCTTCTTGATATAGTGATGATGACCATTAATATTGTTGAGATTTGTGCCACAGTCAATGCCATTGTTAGTACTAGTGATAAGATCCTTCTTGAGTTAGATTAGACAATCCAAATATCTTATATGTTTGATATTATTTACTAATACATACCAATCAATCTACCTAATGTAATTCCACATATAATCTTATTTTCTTAGGTAATCATGGCTTTAAGAACAATATTCATTCCTACCTCTTTTGTTCTCTTTATGTCTAATAATAAAAGAAAATTATCTCACTCTATTAATATAGCCATTGTATGTTTTGCTCAACATTGTCTTAAGCTCTAGCCATGGTAGCATCTTTCTAACAAAAGTTGTACATTGAAGGCTTATGGTGTCTATAATTGACAAAGTTGTAATGAAATTACTACCTTGGTGGCTAATTCTTTGGCTACTCTAATGTACATCCAAATTAATTAAATTCTAGCTCTTTGGATTTTTTTGATATTGTTTACTAACTCTCAAATATCCTTGACATGAACATTGATCTTAGAAAGGCATCTCAACCTTGTACAAACCTACTTTCAATTGATATAAAACTTAAATACATACTTATATAAAAAGAAGAGCACAAGAATGTTTTTGCTACTATGTGAAACATACAGTTGGACATCAATCTTATAATGGAGCAATGTATGAGTCATTAAATTGATTCACTAATTTTTTTAAGAAAAAAAGATGCATTTAGAGTGCTTAAAAGCATAATATATAGTGAGTAGTATAGAAATCTTTAAAAAAATATAAAATTAGAATGTTAATTGTAGAAATGGAATCTTAGTAAGTCTTGGAGAAAATTATCTTAGTTGGTTTAGTATTTTTACTTATCATTGAGTATCAAGAATTATTTATTAAGATCAATATTTACATTGATCTTATATTTATATGTATTGCTTATAATTATTTTTATAAATTTTAGTTAATAATTTGAAGAAGCATGAAAAAGAACCTCATATCTTTTTAGTTAGTTATATAGGATATATGATTTATAGTTGATTTAAATTATTTTATTATTATAAAAAATCACAAAGATATTAAATTATAGCTTTAAATTGATATTTATATTATAGAAATATTATAGAAAGTTTTAGAATTATTTAAATTTTTTAGGAATTTTTAGAGCAATTTTCAACACTTTGATAAAAATGAGTTTTACAACCTTGGGAGCCATTATGAAGAAATAGAGCAAGATTTGAAGGTCATGCACGGTTTCTAGACTAATTGAGTGTTTTCAAACACCATGGTGAAGTCAAAAATGTAAAAAATTTAGTTTTACTAGTAGAAAATAGGAGTATCAATAACTAGTATAATTCTTATAAGAAAAGAAGTGCAGAAGTTCCATATAGGTTGTAGTACCTAGAAGATAGTTAGGAGGATAAGATTAAGGCCTCATGGCCTCTCTTAGAGATCCATATACACTATTTGTGACCCTTGGTGAGGCTCAAAATCTTGATCTCTTAAGAAAATTATTCTTAAGGTGAAAATTATTCACTTAACTTTTTATTTATTTATTTATTTATTTATTATTTTTAAACCTTCATAACTTATTCATAGTAACTCGGATTTACATGAATCTTACACCATAGGAAAAATTAAAAAATATATTTTTCAAAAAATATATTTTTATTTTAATTTTTTAATTTGTTACTGAATAAAAAATTAGTGAACAAATTGTGACTAGTTTTATAGTATATAATTTCTTGATTTTGCTTGTTTCACTTATTTTTGTATTGTCTTTCTTTTGTTCTTGTTCTTCCTATTTTCACTTCTTACCACCAATGATAAGCAA